GCTGGGATTACAGGGGTGCACCACCACACCGGATGAGGTTGACTCTTCAAGAATTGGTAGAGCCAACAAAGACATTTCCTCAGAAAGAAAGAAGAGTGCCACGCATGGTGGTGCACACCTGTAATCCCAGCACTCGGGAGGCTGAGGCAGGCGGTCGCTGTGAGTTTGAGGCTGTACCTTTAAAGCTGGTGCACTTTGTTACACCTCCATAGAGTAAGTTCATAGTGAGTTCAAGGCTGGCCTGAACTGCATAGTGAAACTCTGTCTCAAAAAGACCAAAAAAAAAAAAGTATTTTATCCTAAAACCTAAAAATCATGAGGTATGTTTATTCTAAATTTAAAGGGTTGTAACACTGCAGTTTAAAGTATAAAATATAATGTAAAACACAAAAGTCATCTTTAGAAAGCAGAAGAACAATCTTGTAAGCAGATGCAGAATAGTACTGGTAGAAACAGATAAGAGTTAGTGGGAGCGGGTTAAGATATTTTTGGTAGGATGAGAGCTTTGGTGTACCAACTGTGGTACACTTACAAATTGACAAGCACTCCATTAAAATGAAATAGTGCTGGGCATGGTGGCACATGCCTGTACTCCCAGCACTTGGGAGTCTGAGGCATGACGATTGCTGTGAGTTCGAGGCCAGCCTGAGCTCTGTAGTGAGATAGTGAGTCCCTGTCTCAAAAAACCAAAGAGAGAGAGAAGAAAGGAAGGGTAATGCTTGTAGTGCTTTTCAAAAGTTCAAAACAGCTTTCCGTATTTACTATATCAGCTAATTATTCAGTGTCTGCTGTGCACTAGGATTCATTGTTAAGCGCATGCATTAGTTATGATTTTTTAATTACTAATGGTAAAACAAAATGAAACAAAGCCAAGCTTAACAGGCTTAAGCAAAACCAGGAATGTTCTGGTTGCATGACGGACAGTCCTGGATCTGGCTTTTCACTGTCATTAGCACTGCTTTCTCTGTGTCCACTGTTTCCCAAAAGGCTGTCCTCCTGGTTACAGGCTGGCCACCAGATGGTCGCAGAATGGTTCCCGGAACCATGTCTCCAGGTCCACACTCTCGCTCCCTGCTGAGCATTCCTTCCCTGAGTCCTGAGATCTGCTCTGGTGGGACCAGTCTGGGTCCCAGCCTGTGCCCCGCACCCCGCCCTCTGTGAGCCGCGAGAGTGATGTGCTGGACCGTGTGGGTCTGGCGCATCAACCTGCTACTGGGCGAAGAGTGAAGCCGTGCAGCAGGTGAGAGTCTCCGGTTGAAACAAGGCCTGTTCAGAGCGTACACCCTGAATACTGGGACGGGAAACAGCACATAGTTGGTACCCAGCGATTTCATAGTCTAATTGCCATTGGTGCCACACCCTCATTTCTTTTTTGAGACAGGGTCCTGAGTGCTGGGATTGCAGGCAGGCACCACCACGCCTGGCTTTGAAACACATAATTATTCTCTTTGTTCATTTATCTTAAAAATGTGCTATCTAGAACAAGAATTTTGAGAAAGAGATCACGAGGTACATGGATCAGATCCAGCTTCAGGAATTCTCCTTTGACTTTGAGGTGTTTGCCCCCTTCTAGTCTTGGTTTTTCTGGAGGCACACGGTTTCTCAGATCCAGTCCTGACTGACTCTTCTCAGTAGGTTCTTTGAGCAGATCATTGTATGAACCATTTTCCAAGCAGAGTTTGCTTATAAAGCAAGCAGCACCGCTGCAGGTTTACAGGGCAGGGAGGGGGTGGTGGAACCCAACTCCCAATCTCATACTGGGTGTAGTTGTAAATTGACCTCTCCCTGTGCTGTCACAGACACTCCTTTATTAGGTTTTGTCTCTGAAGTAGGTCAGAAAGCGCGCTTACTCACTGGAGCTTTTTCTGTAGCGCAGCACTATCTCTAGTGAAAACCTCAGTGTAACTCAGCCCCTCTCAGATGGCTCTCATCCCTAAAAAGCATTCTTTTATGTTTAGTTAAAATCTGGGGCTCTGTATCAACCAGCAATCCCTTTTCTGTGCCTGGACATTCACAGAATCAGTCTCCGCCTTATCCAAGGTAACACACATGCTTGTATTTCGGGTATAATCGGGTACCTTCTTGAATAGTATTTTATTATGGTATTGTATTATAATGATATATTAGTGTTTACTGAAATGCATTGACTAAATTTGATTCCTGTCTTGGCCATTTGCTAGCTGAGTGACCTTTCCTTCTGTGCCTCAGTTTCCTGACCTGTAAAATAGTGACAAAAATAACACATCCATGTCAGTGTTGAAAGCTTTAATAATTTTAATTTTGGACTGGGGATTGAACCCAGGGCCTTTGCACTGAGCTACATCCTTGCCTTTTATTTTATTTTTTCTTTTTAGAGACAGATTTCACTGAATTGCTAAGTTGCCCTCTTAGTTCTTTTTCTTGTTGCTGAGACAAAATACCTGATACTCAAAGTTAAAGGAGGTACGGTTTATTTAGCTCACAGTTTGTGGAGGTTTCAGTCCACAGTTGACGGGCTCTAAAGGCAGGGGGGTGGCATGGCAGAGGAGAAACAGTGCACGGTGGGCAGAAGGTAGTAAAGCAACAAGGGGTGACCATAGCTCTTTTTATCCCTTATATCTTATCCAGGCTACTTAGGGCAGGTAGCACTCACACCCTTAATCCCAGCACCCTCGAGCCTAGCATTGCACTGTGAATCAATCCCAGCGTCACACACTCGAGCCAGCCACCTCTGAAGAAGCCACCTATGACCACATGAGGTTTGGGGGGATTACAGGTGTGTGTCACTCTGCTCAACAGAGAGCTTTAATAATTTTAAAGTGCTTTTGGCATATAGTTGTTATACAAAAAAAGCGATTTATTTATTTATGTATTTATTTTTGGCACTAGAGATTGAACCCAGCTATGCACTGAGCTACATCCAACCTACTTTTTATTTTTTATTTTGAGACAGGGTCTCACTAAGCTGCAAAGTTGCCTGGGCTGGGCTGAAACTCAGGGTCCTCCTGCTTCAGTCTCTTAGAATGCTGAGATTATAACACAGCTAAAAGAATGATTCTTAAGTTGGATAGAGGTAGGAATGGAGGAGATATAGCATGTTTTACATTTCTCCATAAGTATATTTTTTATAGTATTAACTGCTATAGTTGGACATGGTTTGAGTGTACCCCTCAACAGTTCGTCTATTGAAATTTAATCCCTGTTCTGAGATATCAACAGGGTGAAAACAAATGGGGTGTGGTGGTGCATGCCTGTAAAGGTGCATGCCTTGGGAGGCTGTGGCAGGAGGATTGCTGCAAGTTTGAGGCCAGCCTGTGCTACATAGTGAGCTCAAGGCCAGCCTGTACTGTAAAGTCAGAGAGACTTTGTCTCAGAAAAAAAAAAAAAAAAAAAGTGTAAACAGTCTGTGGCATTTGGAGGTAGGCCTTTGGGAGGGAGGGGCTTAAGATTAAAGTCATTCAGATGAAGTCCCCATGGTTGAATATTGCTGGCTTTAGAAGAAGAGAGAAGCCAGGTGCATGCCTGTAATCCTAACACTCTGGAGGCTGAGGCAGGAAGATTGCTGTGGGTTCAAGGCCAGTCTGGGCTACAAAGTGAGTTCAAGGCCAACCTGGACTATATAGTACAATGCTGTCTCACAATGACACACAAAAAAAAGAAGAGACTAGAACTTGTATACACATACAAACGTGGACACACACACATCTGTCTCTTGACATGTGACATCCTGCACTCTCTCAGGACTCTGCTATGGAGATGGGCCTTGAGTGTCTGAACTATGAACTAAATAAAGTAAGCCTCTTTATAAAGTTACCCAAATTCAACTATTTCATTATAATAACACGAAATGGACTGGTGCAGAAAATTAGTACCCTGGAGTGGGGTTCCTGAACCCAAAGCTGAAAATGTGGCAGCCTGAGAACTGTCCTGAGCACAGCCTGGGGAGTCGGGATGGGCAGAAAGACAATGCTTGCTGTGGCTCGTTGTGGCAGTTGTGGTGGGGGCTCAGAGGAGAGGAGGATTCTAGTAGAAGTTGGGCCAACCGCCACACTTGATAATACGGTGGCAGAGGACTTGGCCGTGTTGTGTCCGTGCGCTCAGACTGCATGGAAGATTGAAATGAGGGACTGGTTTATTTGGTGGAAGAGATTTTAAAACAACAGAGCAGTTGGGCTGCAGCATGGGCATGATTGGCCACTGTTACTTTGACATTTCGAGGAGCTTTGAGAGGAAAAGGAAGTGGAATGGGAAGATTCAGAGAATGTGTGCAGGCCGGCCAGGAAGGGAGCAAAGAAAGAGGACCCAAGGGTGCAGAGAAGCCGCTTGCTAAAGAGACTGATGCTGGCTCGCAAATGCAAAAGGGCTGAAGGGCATCTCAGCAGTGGACGCTGCTCCTCCAGGACAGGCCTAGCAACTTCAGAACATTCGGGTTCAGCAGGGGCCTTGGGATTCGCCTCCCTGCCTGCACGTGGCCGAGCACTTCGTGGCTGCGGCTGCGGTCCCAGCGGGTGCAGGCACAGTGCGTACCCTCACGTCTGAGTTTGCAGAGCGCAGGGACGCAAGGGGTCTGGGGTCATGTGGCTTGGACCCAGATAGAAGGGAAGCTGGGAGAATTGGCCACACGGTAGGGGACAGTGCCTGGCGCTGCCAAGGGAGCTGAGCTGCAGTAGGGACTCCAGAAAAGCACACCCACCAGCAGTGAGTGGTGCCTGTAGGAAAACTTCGCGCAGCATGCGGAACCTGCCCCAAAGAGTAGCTGCGAGGCCTGCAAACAGCAAAGGGGGGGCTTCCCAGGTCACCTCTGCCAGCATGTGCACAGTACTTTAAGATTCAGTACGTGCCCTGCTGGGTTTTTGATTTTGCTGTGGGCCTGTCGCTCATCTCCACTTATTTCTAGCTCCCACTTGGAATAGGAGTACTTATACCCTCCCTGACCCACTGTTGTGTCTTGGAACTGTTTAGACCTTGGAGCTGTGGCGATGGAGCAAGAGCACTATGTATTATGAGGTGGTGTGAGTATAGCCTGATGTGTCTGCAGCCTTCTGCAGGCTCACAGTGATCCCTGAGCAACCATTGCCAGCTTTTCCTGCATAGTTTCCTAGCAAACCATGAATATGTAAAACCATTTGAGCCATACGTGAGGGTTTACAGTTGGACCCCGGCCCCAGGGATGCAATTGATGATGATGATGATGGTGATGTTTTGGTTTCTTTGAGACAGGGCCTCACTTTGTAGTTCAGGCTGGCCTTGAGCTCAGTGTGTAGCTCAGGCTGGCCTCGAACTCACAGCGATCTTCCTGCCTCAGCCTCCTGCATGCTAGGATTAGAAGTATGTGCCACCCAGCCCAGCCTTCTGAAATGACCTTAAGCAAGCCAGGGTGAAGTCACTTTTGCCCTAACCCATAAACACAGCCTCTCTCTGACTGAAATTGAGTGGCTCCAACTGGCGTTGCTGTTGCCCAGGGCCATGCTTCTCACAGGCCCCCCATAAACTGCACTTGTGCAACCCCAAATCGGTTGCCCTCTGGTCCATGGCACTGTGGGGCTGGGCCTCATACGTACTAGGATTGAGTTGTTCCAGGACAGGTAGACGCAGACTTGGGGGCCAGCAGTGGGGTGCTGTGACCTGGACGTGATTTGAAAGTGTCCCCCAGGCTTCATACGTTGGCACCTTGGTCCTCATGGTGGTGGAGAGGTGACGGGACCTCTGAGAGGCGGAGCCTGGAGAGAAGCTGTTGGGAGCCTCCTCAGAAGAGCCTGGTCCACACTGTCAAGAGGGAGAGAACTTCCTGTCTCATGTGCTCCCACCGTATGATCCTCTGCCCAAGGTTCAACGCATGGTGCTGCTAGATCTTGGACTTTCAGCCTCCAGAACTATGACCTGAAGAAACCTTTTGCTTTATAAAGTAGCCTATCTCAGGTATTTCATTATTGTAATGAAAACCAGACCAATAGAACACTCATAGGGAAGAATTTAACATTCCCTTAGACACAGAGGCTGCCTAGGAGATCAGCTATAAGGCAGATGACCACAGTCGATGGTACTAAGTTATAGCAGTAACTAATATTCCTGAGCACATACTGTGTGTCTGGCACCAAGCTAAGGCTTTTTTTTGGATTATCCTAGATAAATCTTATTTGACAGATGACATAACTAAGGCATGGAGACATTAAAGAATTTGTGCAAGTACCGAGTGGTAGAGCTAGGATTCCTATTTAGGTAATCTGATTTTAGGGCCTAAGTTTTTTTGAAGGAGAGTTAGAGACAGGATCTTTCTATATAGCTCAGACTGGCCTTGAACTGATATGTAACCCAGGATACCCTCAAACTTGGCAGCAGCCCTCTTGCCTCAGCCTCTTGAAGGCTGATATTACAGGCCTGAGCCACCACGCCCCGGGGCCCAACTTCTTAATCACTGCACTGTGCTGACAGGGTAAAATGAAAGAGTTCACATTTCTCAAACTGAAGCAAATTGCTGAGAAATATCTTCTGCCTCCGCCAGTGTTAGAAATGTTTGTACAAAGGATGGAGAGATTTTGTTGAAGAATGCATAAAGTCAACCAAAATACAGGTAGAATATTAGTTATTTATCAGACGGGTTTGTAACATATTAACAATGATAATGTTGCCTTGAGTTTTTCTCTGTGAATTTTAGTTTAGTCTTAAATAGTCATGAGATTCCTTTTCCTTGCCCAAGTCTGACTGTGATTTTTTTTTTTTTTTTGGTCTGAGACAGGGTCTCGCTATGCGGTTCAGGCTGGCCTTGAGTTCCTTTTGTAGCCCAGGCTGGTCTTGAACTCACAATGATACTCTTGCCTCAGCCTCCTGAGGGCTGGGATTATAGGCATGTGCCACCATTGTGATATTTTAAAACGTTTTCAGTCATATTCTTCGGGTAATATTTTCAATTTAATAGAATAGAAGCTACATCAGGATCTAGAGGCCTCAACTATTACTTGACTTTAAAATATCTTTGCCAGGTGTGTGGTGCACGCCTGTAATCCCAGCACATGGGAGTCTGAGGCAGAAGGATCACTGCGAGTTCAAGGCCAGCCTGGGCT